TTGCCCAAATCTTTTTATGCTTCTGCCTTGATTTTGGTATTGTTTTGTGTGTGTGATAGAAGGATGGACTCTTCTATATACAGGTTACGTGAGCTTTTGGTCATTAGTAACGGACTCGCTGATCAGCTTGTTACAGTATTTTATTTAATTAAATAAGTTTTTATTTAAATTAAATTTGATTCATATTTGACAAATATTTAACAAATATTGATTAATTTATTTTTTAATACTTAATTTTAATTTTTATTATTTTTTTAATATAGTTTTAATATTATTTTTTAATTATTTAAAGTTATTTTTAGTTAATTTTTTTTAAAAAAAATTTTATTGCTATTCATGAATATTTTTTTAAAAATTATAATAAGTATCAATATAATTTAAATTATTAAAATTATTATTTTTATTTTAATTTTTTCAACAATTTATAAATAATATAAATTTTATTTTAACTATTCTTATAGTTATATTATTTATTTTTCATTTTTAATCTTTTTTTCATTTTTTTAATTATTATTGCTATTTTTTTTAACAAGTTGTGTGAACAATTATTGCAAACAATTATATATATATATATTTTATTAAATTAAGTAAAAAAGAAATAGCTTTAATTCCTTTTATATAAAAAAACAAAAATTTATTTTTATATATTTATTTTTTTTTTAATTTTTATATTATAATCTGATAGTAACTTGAGAAATAAAGTATGACTATACATATTAGTAAAATATTTTTATATAATTAAATTTATTTTTATTTCAAAATATAAAAATATAAGTTTAATTTTAATTGTCAGAGTTTTTTAATTTTACAAAGTTTTTATAAATTTGTATTTTTTATTTTTTATTTTTTTGAAACTCTTAATTCAATTATGGATTTATTAATTTAAATTATTTATCAAATTTGAAGTATATTAATTTAGTAAATAAAAATGTTTTTTTTTTCTAAAATATAAATATTAATAATTTATAGTAGATTAAATATTTAATTGTGAATTCTTAGAAAAATCCAAAATTTTATGATCATCACAATTATCTTTACAATTGATTCTTTTTTGATATATAACATTTGAAAGAATTAGCGCTTATTGTATATTTACCAAATAAAATTATTAAATACATTTTTTTAAAAATATATTTTTATATCTCGAATAACTTAAATTAACTTCAAAATAATAGGTACTGTAACAATTTATAAAATTATTTTTATACAGTACATAAAATAATATAATTGACCAAATAACTTAAAATTAAAATTTACGGTTAATCAATAAAATAACCACAATTAATAAATTTATAAAATTTGATAATATTCGTAGTAGTTTTCATATATACGTATAATATTATATAATGAAAAGGATTCTAAACTAAAATTACGGAACTTTTCGAATCGTTTATTTCGGTCATATTTAAAGCTAAATACATGGTTTTGGCACAACCAACTAAAATAGAGACAATTATCGAAAGTTGACCTGTCATTCTTTTGCACCTATTAGATCAACCCGAACCACTTGTATCACCGTGCAACGTTTGAATGGCAAAAAAATTAATCACAAAAATTTCTGCATGTGATCATTCTTTCTCGCGAGTCATATTTACCATCTTAAAGCTGGCATTGAAAAAAAAGATATAATTATGGAATTATCTACATCGAATCCTTACTCTGATGAAATGTTAGTATCTGAACTTGTCTATTCATTTGACTGGTCATCAACACCCATAGGTTCTATGGATTCTTGGAGCCCTTCTTTGAAAACAACAGTGGTATGCACTTAGATATTGACCATAAATTTTTAGCGAATTTAGGTAATTTCGCCGAAATCAGATCTAAAAAGCTATGACTTTTTTTATATAATGTATAATAGGACTTATGTCTACATGCTACGTTCCCCATCACTATATTTTATGGACCGAAATATATTATGATATATAACCAAAGTAAAATTAATTCTGCGAAAATACATTTTATTGTAAATGAAACTTCTTAACCGTTATTCCTTATAGCGTATAGGTCCGTATTAAAAACGAAGCATCCCGCAGGTATTATTTTTAATGCATGTTTCAATAACTTAATTGGTACTCCAAGAGATTTTAGCACCCATTTACGGATTTGATAATTAATTATAGCGTTAGGTTCTCCCGCGAGTGAAGTTTATAGCGAAACCTTTGACGCTTTCGGACGGCAACTTGATGAGTGTGTAGTTATTTTATTTATGCATTAAATAGTCGTTCCAGTAAATATCAATTAATCCACTTATTAAAAATAGAATAGTTTCCAGTGGAAAGGGTCAATTTCATAATGATAAGTTAGGCTTAGTGCACCGAGAAGGATACATAGAAGAATGCTACTTTTCATATACCTTAAGTCCCATATTCAAAGAAGATGGAACTATTGGAGGTGTGTTTAATGCTGTTCAGGAAACAACCCAACGGGTTTTAGCCGCCAGAAGATTGAAAACCCTAAGCGAACTAGGGAATATAACGCCCTGTATGTATTATGTTAATGTGAGTTAAATGCTATTCATGGTATTCACATGATTCTATACAATTATAGGTGCTAAAACGATGGAAAGCGCTTGTCATCTCGTAACAACTACTTTACGTGATTATAATAAAGACATTACCTTTTCGCTTATATATATTATTAAGAATTATAAGAAAGAACCTGATATAAATGGCAAAAAAGCGCACTTAATATCATCAACCTTCGATAGTGATCTCGAAGTAATAAAAGGAGACGATGGAATTGAGGAATTGATTTTTATTAAAGGAAAATCAATAAGAAAGCTACCAGATTTTTTACCGGACACTTTCGAATTAATAGATCTTCAATTAAATGAAGATAATTCATGTTGTAAGATTTCCGATAATCAAGAAGCATCTGCGAAATCAGCCTTAAATTTATCTGATACCACATCACTTACTTGGCCGATAGAACAAGTGGTGATATCTAGTTCTCATTTGGTTGTTACCTTAAAGGACAATTCTCAGGCAATTCTTTTACCAGTGCATATGTCTTTGGCTGGAAAAACCACATTAGCTGCTGTAATTATTTGCGGTTTGAATAAGAACCGCGCTTTAGATCGAGAATATTTGGGATTTTTACATGTTTGTATTAAATTTGGTGCAGTTTTATTCGTGTTCGTTAACTAATTAAATCTTATTATTTACGAATTAAGCTCGTTACTGGTCATGTGAGTTCAGGCTTAGCACATGGCAGATCACGCGAAGAGGATAGAAAACGAGCCGAAATTCTAGCAGATTTAAATCGTCAAAAAATAATGTTTTTCCAGAATATTAGCCATGAACTAAGAAGTAAGGGTCGAAATTTGTAATTTGTAATATAATATATATTAAATTATTAAGCTAATAAATTCAAATTATTTGACTAATTGATAGCGCCATTAACGTTGATGCTTTCACCACTTGAAGAGTCGATCAGTGTTTGCCCTCTAGAGTTACCTATTCTTTATAACCTGCAGATGGTAAATCGAAATGCCCGTCGACTGCTTAAACTTGTTAATACTTTGTTTCAGGTTAGTATTTGAAAAATATGTTTTTAAAATGTAATAGTTCTTGCTTTATGTACCCAATTTTTGCAATACCTATAGTTTTCACGAATTGAATCAGGCAGATTGGAGGCTCAATTTCGAGAGACAGATATTGCGAAATTTACTCTCGAATTAGCTTCATGTTTTGAAAGCATGGCGGAATCGTTAAAGCTAGCCTATATCATTAAAATTCCAAGTAGCGAAGAATTTTATAGTAAATTAAAAAAGAAAATATTTATTGACCGAGACATGTATGAAAAAATTGTATTTAATTTGTGTAAGTATATTCGCAGATACTTATTAATCGGTTAACGAATATTAATACTAAATTATATTAATTCTTCATTATAGGTTCAAATGCGTTTAAGCACACTTGGACGGGAAGTGTTTCAGTTTGTTTATATTCAGATATTAAGGATGGAAGGGAAATGGTTATATTGGAGATCACAGACACAGGTATTTGACAATAAAAACGAGTATTTCGATATATATTAATTTAGGTTATTAATTGACACCAACGAAATTGTTTTAAAGGTGTAGGAATTCCGGAAAAAGATATTGAAAACTTATTTCAGCGTTTTTATCGCGTGGAATCAAGCCAGTCTCGTAGCCATGAAGGAACAGGAATAGGGCTTGCATTTGTAAAAGAGTTAGTAATGAGGCATGATGGTGAGATTTCAGTACATTCGGAAGTGAAAAAGGGTACCACTTTCCGCGTATCGCTACCTACGGGTTTGGAGCATTTACCAGAAAAACAAGTATATTATGAAGATGATGAATTTAAAGTAAATCCGATAGAAAAAGGTTTATTTAATGGGCGAGATCTCTACCTTGAAGAATCTCACCAATGGATAATAAATGATCGCATTGATAATGATTTCACCAATGATGATAACGTGGATGACACTATGGACTTAGATTGCTTGGACACCTCAAACGATTCAGAGTTGTATGATAAAAAAGCAGATGCTCAACACATTTTTTTACCTTTGCTGCATGACGATATATCTAATGCACGTAAGGTTTCTTACCACATTCTTATCGTCGATGACAATACGGACATGAGGTATTATTATAATTTTTATCTCTGTCACATTGACTGAACTCTTGTTAAGATCTTAAATAAACTTTACAATTATAAGAAACTATCTCCATAGTCTATTACGAAAGGAATTCAAAGTAGACTGGGCGTATGATGGTCGTGACGCCTTAAAAATATTGAAGAAACTTAAGAAGCTTCCTGACTTAATTCTAAGCGGTAATGTGAAATATATACACAGAGTATACGTATATGATCTTTTACATTAATTGTTAAAACTGTCGGTATAATAGATGTTATGATGCCAAATATGAACGGCTTGGAATTAATAAAAACGCTTAGATCTGATCCGGTAACTCAGTTGATCCCCGTGATCTTTTTATCTGCAAAGGCGGGTGAAGAGGCTAGCGTAGAAGGTCAATAAATTCAATTGGCTCATTTTATTTATAGGGATTATTATTTACATATTTTTTTACTTTAGGATTGGAACAAGGCGCAGATGATTATTTAATCAAACCATTTAGTATTAGGGATTTGATTGTTCGAATTAAAGCCAATATTAGACTCTCACATCTTCGTCAACAACTTTTGCTACAACAGAAGCAACATTCAGAGACCCGGTGGTTATTATTCTCGATAAGTGATAAGATTCGCGCCGGACTGGATATAGAAAAAACATTATCTATAGCTAGTGAGGAAATTAGTATAATACTGCCTTGTGAGAGAATATTCTTTATTAAAATTGATTCTATAGCTTCAGGTAAAGGTCGCATAATTACTTTCTTGGCTTCCGATCCAAATGAACAAAATTTGACAGGAAGAATTGTGTCGTATTCACTAATTAAAAGTGGAAGGGAAAAAATTTTTCAGAAATTATATTTAAAGTATAATATTACCGAAGAAGGTGGCGAGGCACTTAAAAAGCTTCAAGATGCTTTATTGGAGAGTAATGAGTGTGTAGTAACAGAAAATTCATATTCTAGCGTAGTCGACCGATACGTTTCTACAATTGCTATGCCAATTAAAACAAATTCATCAGCATGGGGATGGATAGTTGTTAATAGATCACCAAATAAAACTTGGTTAGATTCAGAGAAGGTCTTTATTCAGCAAATTTCAATTCAAGTTGGATTGGCGATAACACATGCAATGCTTATAGAAGAAAAATCAAAGAAGGACGCTCAGATGAAAGCCGCAAAGGCAGCTGATGAAGCAAAAGGACAAATTTTAGCCAATACTTCTCATGGTAAGTTAACAATGATTTCTTACTTTATCCTTTTTTTGTTATAAAACTATCTAACGCATGTCAAATTTTTCAACAGAACTTCGAACACCGTTAGGGGCAATAATAGGAATGTTATCAGCATTTGAAGATACTCCATTGACTAAAGATCAGAAAGAAATGGTTCAAATAATGACACGTGCTTCGGACGTTGTTCTTTCTGTGATTAACAATATTCTTGATGCGGCAAAACTGGAAGCACAGAAAATTACGTTTGCTAATAGAGACTTTGATTTACTGCATGTGGTTGAAGAAACTCTAAACATATTTGGTGAAAAGGCAGGCGCTAAACAGCTTGAATTAATTTTGTGCTACGAGCATGCATCTCTACCAAAATATGTAAAATCAGATCCCGATAGGTATGCTAATAATGTTAGGTGTAATATTGCAATTACGAAATGTAATTAAATAAGTATGTTAAATATCTAGGTTGCAGCAAGTCCTAATAAATTTATTGTCTAATTCGTAAGTTTACATTTGATTATTATCTTTTATCTATTTATATTAAGTATGTTAATTTTGAAATAATTTCAATAATCAATCAAGTATAAAGTTTACGGAAGCTGGGGAAATAGTTCTTAAGGTTTCGATGGCTTCCAATGAATCTACAATCAAGGATAATACCAAAATAAGCACAATATATGTGGAATTGATTGATACTGGTATTGGGTAACTATTAAGTCCGATCTGGTTTTTTAAAAAAATCCATGTCGAATTATTATGACAATTTATATTGCGCATCCATTTAGAATTGATCCCAAATTTATAAACCATATCTGGAAAAGCTTTTCGCAGGCAGATACCACTATAACGAGACGCCAGGACGGTACGGGATTAGGTCTTTCGATCTGTAACCACTTAGTAACTATAAATGGAGGCGATTTAGGAGTTGTAAGTGAATTGGGAAAAGGAAGTCGATTTTGGTTTACTTGGAAAGTCGAGCCGTTATCTGTCAATCAATTAAATGTAGTTTCCCCTTTAACCGCACGATCAAAACGTGTTCTTGTGATTGATCCTATTCACGTGGCCCGTGACGCTTTAGTTAAGTTTATAGAAAGCCAAGTTAAACGAGTTGATGCATTCGACACTGTTGAAGAGGGTATTGCGTCTGCAAAAATGTGGAAAGAACAACATAATGAAATATATGATCTTGGATTTTTTAATATTTGCAAAAATAATCTCGATGATACTAAAAAAGCATTAAAAGAATTAAAAAGTTTATGTGGCGATCACTTATACATAGTCTTAATGATCTCTTGGTCAACTAGAGAACGTATTTCGGGGGAAGAAATTATAAAAGAAGTTAAAGACCAAATTATCGCTTTATATAAACCTATAATGCAAAAACAAATACTAGATTGTTTGTATAATAATGATAACCTTAATGATTATAGCGTCATTAAACCTTCAGCAGAATTAAGAGTAGAGAAACATGAAAATCGGTCTTTAATCCATATTAAATATTTGAATGAAAATGATGATAATATTACTACTGTACTAAGGAATGAATTAAAAGAGGAAAATTTAATTCTGCCTTTAGATAGGTCATCAAAAATAACAGCCTTAAAAAGGATGTTTTCCGATGATGGAGAGAATACAACTCTTGATAATAGTCACGCAGTAAAGTCAAGAACACGTCTAACTTTAAGATCAAAGTGTGTGTTATGCGTGGTAAGTTTCTCTTAAATGTTATTGCTTAATATGTATTTGCTTAGCGTTTACACTAATTAATTTATAGGAAGATAATCCTATAAATTTAAAAGTTATACAACATCAGCTCACGAAACTCGGATATAAATCATTATCCGCAATAAATGGAAAAGAGGCCATAGATTTAGTAACAGAATTTGCTAACCATCTAAATAATAAAAACACATCCACATCCTCATCTAATTTGCACTCAGATAATTATGAAAATATATCATTGATCTTAATGGATTGTGCAATGGTAAATGATTATTATTTCAATATTTAATCGCTTTATTTTTACGTAACTTAATGCATAGCTTTGCACTTAATTTGCTTACTGCAGCCAGTAATGTCGGGATATGATGCTTCAAAAGCCATAAGAGCAATGAAATCGCCGGTATCTCAAATACCAATTATTGCGCTAACGGCATCGGCAATTCAAGGTTCAAGAGAAAAATGCCTCGAATCAGGGATGAATGATTTCCTTACGAAACCATTAAAAATATTGCAACTTAAAGAAATGCTAAATAGATGGCTAGAGGATAATAATTGAGACCAATGTTTTTTACTTTTAATAGTGTTTAATGAATCCTTTTGATCTTCCATGTATGCATTTTAATTAGCATCCATCCTTTCCTTGTTTATATTATACAGTCAATTATTTGTGATTAATCTTCATTTAATATTTTTATGCTCTAGCTCTTATCAGAAGTTCTGTTTTCCTTATATGCTCGTTTGCGATTTATTTCATTTATCATGATTAAGAAAAAAAAGTTTGCTTTTAATATAAGAACATAAGAATTAAATTAAATAGTTTTATATGTTAAGGAGAGCGATAGTTTAATGCGATCAAGGCTTATAAATGTTGTCTCTCTTTCAGTGAATAGAGTTATTCGGACGGGCGCGAAAATAATGAAGACCCATTATGTATTATTATGTAATTTAATAATTATTTTATAATTCTGAAATTATAATTTATAATTAGTAAATTTATTAAATTATTATCGACTATTAAAATTAAAAATATATTTAAAAAAACATTTAAACTAAAACTGAATTAAATTTAAAAATCCCATTTAAAAAAAAGTTGTTATATGTTATTTGTATTTTAGATTTTAATTTTATTTTCTATAAAAATGAATTTATTTTCAACTTTAACAATTACGTATTATAAATATACAGTATATATTTTTTCTTCTTTTATTTTTGGCGAATTTTTATATTTTAATATTAGAAAATAAAACAAAGTTAATAAATATTTGTAAATGAAAATATTTCGCTCCATGTTACATTACCATTTCTTTTATTTTTATAGGGAACTTAAATAATAAGTACATTAAATCAAAAAATTGTTCCAATAATTAAAACTTTTTTGTTTATAGGATATATTTTTTGAGCGATTGATTTAAAAAAACTAAAAATATAACGATTAAAAGATTATGATTATATATTTTGAAGGGTATTCTATTTAATATTATTATTTAATAACATTACTAAAAATTAAACAATAAAATTATCATGTTCATCAGTACAATTTTTTTTAATTCAATTTATAAATTTAATAATTTGTATAACCTCCTTTGCTTTAATTACAGCTGTGATTCTTCGTGACATACTATCAATAAGTTCTATACATTTCTTTGTAAAAATTTTATTCCATTTTTGTTCAATTAATTCCTAAAGATTATTCATATCATTAGGTACATTTGTGTAATCTGAAAGTTTTCTTCTAAAATAACTTTATAAATGCTCCATAGGATTCAAATCTGGTAATTGCAAAGGTCAATATAATACTCTAATTTCATTATCTTCTAAACATTTTTGAGTTTTTTTTGCTGAATGCTTTGAGTCATTATTATGTTGAAGAATAATATTTTCAGAATTTAATTTATACCATTCTATTGTACCCAAAAATGTTTATCTAAAATATTATAATATAATTCAGCATCCATAGTAATTACTATATAAACTAAGTTTCTTATTTCTTTTACATTATATATCCCCAAACCATTAATGATCCTCTATAATGTTTTATAGTTAATATTACATTATTACTTTGAAATGATGAATTTATTTTTTCCAGTCCCATTTTGATCATTTGATCCAAAACATTGATTTATTTTCATTCAAAAAAATAACTATTCACTAATTATCAATCATCCAGTTTTTGTATCTTTTTGCATAATATGATTTAATAAAAGGCTTCTTTTTCTTTGTGATAATTTATTTTAATCCATTTTTTTTAATATATTATAAATCATTTGTACTGTAATATTTAAGTTATAATATGTTTTAAAGTATTTTTGAACATTTACAGTGTATCTGATTGACATAAATATATTAAATATATAATATAATGTTCTTGTTGTTTATTTAAAGAAGATAGATAACCAGCAAGAGGGTTTAATATATTAGGATATATATTTTGATAGATTCTTTATACAATACTATGACCAATATCAAGTTGGGTAATAATTTTTCTTGTAAATAAACCATAATAAATCAAAGAAATAATACATTACATTTTTGCTTGAAAAGATGTTTCATTATTTAAAAAATAATAAATTAATATTCTTTAAATATCTTTTTTAAAAATTTAAATTATTACACAATTTGTAAAAAAACATTTAATAAATTATTATTATCAAAAAATTGCATTAATATATTTATTAACTTTAATTAAATATTTTTAATATTAATAATAATAATTTGATCAATTATATACTATTTAAAAGATCAAATAAATATTTATATATAGTTAAATTTATTATTTTTTTAAATTAGTCACTCAAAAAATATATACTATAAACAAAAAAGTTTTAATTATTGGAACAATTTTTTGAGTCTATATAATATAATACTAGTATTAAATTGATATAGAAAGATATACTATAGTTATAGAAGCGCAAAAAAAATTGTTTTTGATTATCAGCTTAAATAATAATAGCATACTATCTATACTGATGGAAAAAATATTATTTTTTCAGTTTTTTTTTTTTTTTTATAAAGCTTGCTAAGTCATTCCATATAGTTTTTATTTAATCATTTATATCTTTTTTTATACAAATTTAATTGTGAAAAAGAAACATTTACAATAAGAAAAAAATTACTGACTCAGTATCTTGTTAAATCATTTATCTTACTGCAATTCACTTGAAAATGAATGTTAGCATGTCATAACTCCATTAATATATATTTTCAGGATTTCTCTTATAATATAGTTGGTTACCTTTATATATATTTGTTAATTAGTGCCTTGTAGACTTTCTCCCTTTATAAATCCATACTTGTTTAATGATTTTGGCTTTTTGTTCACTCCCTTACCTTCTTCTTATTATCAATTCCTTATAATTTTTCCTATTTTATAACCAGGTTATACCTCAATTTCCAGATTGCTTTTTTCTCTTGCTAAAACTAAACTGTTGCAATTTTCAGAGCTATTAGTGTTATTTTCTCACTACCTGTGATCTTTAATGCAATTTGCTTCATTTTGTGAATAATGACCCTCTAATAATGCTTATTTATTTTATCTTATTGAATTCCTTTATTTGTTCTACTTTCTCTGTTAATTTAAAGGATTGTTTTCACTTGTTATATATAGGTTTAATTTACTTATTGTCATTGAACCTGGCTACACATTCTTCTACAAAAAAGGATGTATACTTTACATAAATATTATCTTGTTCAGTTTATATATAAAGGGGTGAAAGTCTTTTTCTTCTTGCCTCTTATAGATGATGCAGATTGGGTTTTTAAATAAATATAGTTTTATATGTATATGTTTGCCAATGTGGATATTTGTTTAACTATATCTTCTATCAGAAGAATCTGTCTCTATAGTTCTTCTAATCAGTTTGAAATAATGTAATCTTGGATAGCATTAGTATTTTCATAGTTATATTCCAGTTTACTTTCTTGAACTTAAAACCTGTAAGCCATTCCTTTATTAATTTCAGAGTTCTCTATTTATTTGTCCATTTGGTTTTGAGAAAAGTTTTTCCTAATATTTTAAAGGAAAGGTCCATGAAGAACTGTTTTCATTTAAGTACTGTCATATCATTTATCAAGTTTAGCTTTTATATTCTAATAATATTCTTGGGCTTATCTATCAGTATAGTTATTAGCAATTTGTCTGCAAGTTTGTTTCCTTGATTTTTTGAGTGACTTTTAATTTTTGTTCACTTAACTTCAATTATCTATATATCTATAATCTTTAGGATCATATCAATTAGACTTTTGTTTGGACTCTTCATCTTCTTGTTTTTGTTCTTATCTATTTTGACTATCTTTTTTATCCCATTGATTATGCCTTAACTGTCTGCAATGATGTTTACATTCTTTTTTGTATATACTGTTCTGATTATTATTAGTATTACTATTAATTTAGCTCTTAAGAAGGATGGAATATCCTGGGTTTCTACCTAGAAGATGATTATTTTGATTTCTGATTCTATTTGAATTACCCATCCAATCCCTATTCAACAATATATATCACTTCGTGAAGAAGAATATTTAAAAATTTGTAAGTTATCTTATAAAGCAATCTCTTATGCAATCTGCCGCAATCTCAATATTGTTCTTGTAAAAACCCTTGGTCTTTTCTAAATTAGGATCTTTGTGATCAATAAAAGATCTAAGAGTAAAGTTGATAAAGTTATATTGGATGGTTATTTATTGTAAATCTCTTTGAGTACATGCTCTATGCCCTGGAAGTATGATTGAAGTTTATTAATTGAAAGTTGACTCGTATCTTTTTCATACAGTATTAAAATATAACCCTTAGTACTCTTCACTACTTTAATATCTACTGACTTTGCAAACAGTTATATAATTACATAATGTTGTTAATCCATATATTGCTTTCTGAGCTTTGGGTTGTTAAAAAATCAATCTTTGTACTTGAAAATTGGTAATGACTGATCATTTTTGATCATATATTGGTGAGAATAGACTGGCTATTAAGAACTTTTTTTTCTTTATTATTACTGTTACTGTGCCTTTCTTGGTATATTAAAGCAAAAACTATTTATATTTGGGCTATTGTTCCTATGCCTCTTGAAGAGTATCGATTCTTTTGTATTTTGCAAGTTTCCATTTTCTATTAACAATTCTTTCAACTCTTTATATTAAAAGGATATTCTACCTTACTTTTTTAGTTTGATCCATACATACTGCCATAAGAGAAATCTTTTCTTGTTATTTAAGAAGCTGGTTAAAAAATAATTTTTTTTTGTATTCAAGAGAGTTTCTGTGTTTGTTATACCAGTTTCTCTCTTTGAAAGCCATTCACTTATTTTTGACTGTTTTTTTAAGCTATATATATTCAACTAAAGCTAGTGTAATTCCTGAAGTTTTAACATGTTTAGTATCTCATTTGTCAAATTTTTTCTTCTCTTAGTCCAGAAGGATAACCTATCTATTAAAATTAATATATTGAACTAGTATTTATTTTATAAATGATGAAACCTAATATATATTATTAGTCTTTTCAAGTTATGACTATTTAATCTATAGAAAACACTAGTTAAAAAAAATTATTTGATATACTGCCAC